AACATTTCTAGGAATTGGATCTTATTTCCAATGGGAAATGTTTCAAATGAAAGTAGAACAAAAGGCTAAGAGAGCTTGTCAGAAGCAATGCTAATATATGAGGGGCTCCACTGGAAGGAGCACTTGCATGTTCCATTTACACATCCCTCTCCAGGCTCTCAAGCCCATTTTGAATTGAGCCCAGACTGTCCTGGTTAGAGCACACTACTTCCTATCACCGCACTGTACGTGGCTGCCTTTGGTTTAAACTTCAGCCAGTGCTGAGGGCAGACCACCTGCTTGCTTCAGAGTGCAACTTATTTATCAACACTTATGAGACACATGGTCTTGCTATACCTCTTGCTTTTGGTCAGTGGCATATTATTAGTATTGTTGCAGTGGGTGCTGTGAGTGTCCTCCCTGCTGGGCTCACGCTGCCATATAAACTAACCCTTAAACTGTGCTCACCTCTCTGCCTAGCACTAACATACTTGCTTGTTTTGTTAGAAAGAATTAAACAACACAAACTGAGGTGTTTTTTTAACTATTGTCCTTTCAAAAGGAATTTTTGCACCATAAGCAATTTGAAATTACTCATAGAAAGCAGGAGGTTTTTTTCCTGGAAAGCAATTTCAGCATAGTATTTTTCAAATAGAATATTACTACTATAGTTTCAGGCAATCCCTAGAAAAACCTTAGTTAGAAACTGTGGTATATCTGTGAGGGTAAAGGAACATAACCTGGCTCATCATTTACCTCCTACCAAGAAACCAAAGAAAATATTCTTCATCCTGGCAAAATCTTATTCTTCACTACGTAATTTCACCCAAAAGACTTATTTTTCTCCATCAGCACCAAAGTCTCCTCAGGAGAAACCAACATTTTGGCAATTCTATGATTCTAAAACCGTGTTGTGCTCATAGACAGCTGCAATGTAGACTTCCAGGGCACAGGTCTCCAGAACAGATAGCACCAAAAGCATGGCAGAGGCATAAGCTTTAGGAAGTCCCATGTCTGGAGCCTGGAAGTCACCTGAGAAGAGGCTGTGGGCAAACAAAGGTAGGGGATTATAAAAGCCAAAGTCTTGCTCAAAACCTGGGAATTCCCCAGGGTGGCAGAAAGCTGACAGACACTAGGAAATACAATCACCCTGCCCAGAAAGTCTTACAACACAAAGGCAAGAAAGCTGCCAGCATTGAGCAATTCTGCCTCGCACCACTGGCAGGGAAGTCACTGAGAAGTCACCACTGTGCTGCAGCTGAAGAAACATGTCACTTGGCAGATTTACAAAAAATTTGGGTATAGCATTGCTTTAGCAACACAGCTCAAGGCAAGCCTGGGTCACAGCAGGAAAACAAGTCTGGGAAATCTCAGCAAAGACCAGCAGGGATGCATTCC